CAAGCTGTCCTAAAATACCCCTGAGAAATGAACAAGCGTCTATCTTAAACTTCCTATGATGAAGCTCAATCCTCTCATGCTTTTCGCTCGCGAGATAGAAGAGAACGACTGGAGACGAGTCATATCTGTTGTTATGTCAAAGACAGATGAAAGTAATACTCTCAGAAATAACATTTTTTCCCTCAGGACAATAAACATTTCCCAAATTATATAAAAACACGTTTTCGAGGGGCTGAAGGATCGATGCTCCCCAAAATGATCTCCTTTGAAATAATAAGCAAGTTTGCCAAACAGTAATTTTTAATGCACATATTCGCCATCTATTTTAAATGTGCTATCAGCTAAACATAAACTTCATACTACAAAAATAAAACTCCGAAAGAGAAAAGTGTGAGTTTACTCAGCTATTCGTCTAGTGTTCCTCTGAAGCGGGAACTACAACACCCTCATAAAACTACAAGAAACATGTCTCACTAAAGAATGATATGATGCGAAGATCAGAATTTCTCAAGCAAACAAAACAAATAAGATTGATGCTACTGATTCGGTAAATGACACACAAGGGAAACTCAGTCTTGCTTTGTAAATTTCTCCTCATGGGTTACATATAATTCCTAGATCTTCAGGGTGAGTACAATCATGATTTCCCCACCCATTGTGGCTACAGTCCTGTATGCTTGTTTCGTTACCGATGCACATGACWTYATCGAGCCAAATAGGGTCAGCTCCCTCGCCAAAGGTATGGGTGATGTAGGACTGGACACCACTGAACCCGAGCTGCCAACAGGCGACCATACCACCGTTGATGTCCCAGCTATCATCGCAGACTGTACCCCAMTGGCCGTTGTGAAAGACCTCAAGGCGTCCCTCGTAGTTGTTAGATGATCCAACCAGCCGAATAGTAGCTGATGTCCAAAAAAAAAAACACTTTAGAACTTAACCAGACCAATTTACGTTTCCATTATACAGAATCGATACTCAGATGCTTTAAARTGCAACTTATAGAGGTCTACAACATAAAAGCCCCTTCGCACCAAAATCAGACATATCTTAGCAGGGTTCGAAAAATTAGATKTACTCATCATTTTGCCATACCCTTTTGATTTAAGGCAGGTATGGTAACTTCACCTCTAGCTGCACAGGGAGAAGTCTGCTTAGGTTATTCAGCAAAACTTACCTGTACATGAGTGTCCATCACCTCGATAGCCTGGGTTACATTGGCAGGTATRTGACCCAACTGTATTTGTGCATTGTGCATTAACATTGCATGTGTGAGCGCCAGAAGAACATTCATCCACATCTAAAAGAAAATATAGTGAATCTGTCACAAACGAAAGCTTTAGAGTGCGCAATTACTTGTTTTCGGTCAGTATGTCGTGCCGCGGGCCTAATAGGGCGACATACTAGCAGGCCTGGGTTCAACGACTCTACCAACGACTCTACTCTCACAGCACCTGTTCGCACTCTGTTGTTTAAGAGTACTAAGACCAATAGTTTAAGACCATATTGCTCTTGACATACTTTCATTACATTGCTCATATAGTAAAGTATGTTTTTTTTATCAAAGTCAGAAATGTTTGTTCCGCAAAAGGTGTAAAATAATCGTAATGCAAACTTCACTTGGTTCGCCTCCATCGACTACATTTTCATTCCTTGTCTCTTGTTATATATGGCCATGGTGTGATTGGTTTCTAAAAATAAATTATCGGGACATCTGATGGTGACGAGATTACTAGCGAGATGGGCACGTCTGGTTATGTACTTCTGAGATTAGAGCATTATAATTATTGTAATTATTGGAAGTTCGTGTGGCTATTTGAACGTCTTGATCTTCAAACTAATATGACAATGCACAACCATTATGAGATCGTRTTACCTCGTTTGCACGTGTAACCGTGGCAAGATCCACATGTGACGTCATTCCAATGATAGTCATGACGTACTCCAAGAGTATGTACACAATCCTGGTCTCCAGGGTAACCATTKGGTTGGTTCGGCGCCCAGTACGTAAAGTCAACATTGGTACCATCAATCCAGGTAAAGTTTCCTTCACTGTCAATGTCTTGTAGTCCTATCCATCCTGTATCACCGCCGTGACGAAGCTGAATGTACGTGTTTTCTTCTTGGCTGGTTACACTGGYYAGATTGGAATTGTCATCAAGRCAGTTGRATTCCGATTCATTCCACGAGGTACAGGTAGAGACGGTCCTGTAGCAGAAGCCATTAAAATAGTTCCAGTCTTTTCCACACATATCTAAAGTGTTAAAAAATTTTCGTAGCTCAATAATCCCTGTTGATGTGATGCATATTGATTTTTCTGGTCCATGAACGGAAAGTTTTTCAAGAAATAATACTAGTTGYAGATAGAATCAGATTATATTTGTACTTAATTACAAAGACTATTTCCATATCAATCTCTGATTGAGCAAAATAAACTACCTGTTACAACAACGTACTGCAGTGTGACAGGATCATAACGGCCCGAGTACAGCTCTTTAAGACAAACACGGAATGTTTCCATTGTAATATTCTGCAAGTAAAAATAAAATAAAACAAAAGATATTTTACAGTTGTGCACAACAGGTGYAAACTCACCTCAATCCATGCAGATATCCCGTTGCACGTAGGACTAGTAAGGCCAACACTTGTATCATGAGTAGCTGTTATCAACACTGAAGGTCGTCTTGTGTAGTTTTTTGCCAAATTGACTACCTAAAGTCATTTTGTTCGGAGTACAAGAGATTGTTGTCGTTATAAAAGTCATAATTTGAAGTTTTCAAAGAGTCTYTTTAAGAGGATTTGAAATGATCAGATTTTAGTAGAGAACGTGCAAGATGATTTTAGTGATTTTATAAAATAAACTAATCAATTATACCTCGCARAATGCATAGTTGYTAGATTCTAGAGGGGTTTGTGTATTGGCGAAGTGAACACTGCCATGCTCAGGAAATAGTGGGAGATGAAGTGTTTCAAAAGCCATCCAATCCTAGAATTAAACATAAAATTGCAAATAACAAATCGAAAAAAAATCATGCAAGAAAGTAATAATTACCAAGTCAATCTCATCATGAACTCCATCAAAGTTTTGCAGCTCTCTAATACAAACTTGAAATGATGAAGAGGTGATGTCCTCGACCCAGACACTGGCAGCATCGTGTTTGAGTCCATCTCTCTGGTGCTCGAGAGTGACTAGTACCGTGGGGGTACCCGTGAATTTACCCTGAAATTAACATACTATYATAATATTGAAGAAAATATTTGTTTTCAATATTTTCTCACGCAGTTTTGCAAGGGTAACACGTCGTCATATAATACTACTGTAAAAAGGTTTGTACTTATGCAACAGTTCAAATGTTAATTTTCAGATACCTTAACAAATRATTTATTTACTTACACTCGGTAATGATAACGTCGTACAYTTGGTACCAGTCCACCATTGTGTAATACGCTCCTTCCCAGTCACCCCTCCGTTTGGTGAACCCTGATAMGCTATCCAATCAACTGATGCCACGTCATTGGTAGGCTGATCATTTCTTCCAGTTTTGGTCATACACACAGTGAAGTTGTCTGGATTCACCTTTTCMGACCACGTGACTGTTGCGTCATGGACATTAGCCGGAAGTGACGCATTGATGTAGTTGACAGTTAATTGGACATGGATGGGTTTGTCGGGATAGAATGCGTAGGGCTGGAGAGAGACAACTTCACAATGGGACTCGGCTGAAACATGGCTAAGATGATGTGTTCCTTTGTCGAAAGGAAAACCTATGACGTAGAGATAATTTTAAAAGAAGCTAATCSCTTTATTTTCATGCATGTTGGTTTATTTTTAGTTTCTCTTTAATTATAAATACTTACAACTAGTTGTGAACAACTTGAAATAAAGTGGCGTCTGTTATATGATTATATGTACAATGAATGACGTTAATACCTTGACAGCCACCTGGATGGTAGTACGAAAAGTTTTCCCGAGTTTGACAGATTTCTCTTTCCAGAGCACACATGTTATCAAACGTCTGACCATTAGAGGCACAAACAAGATCCTCGTATGATGGACACTGGGTAACGCACACACACTGGTGAACACTTGCTGACATGGCTTGACAAACACCAAAATATTCACAGGTCTTGTTGATGCATGGATCAAGATCTAATAATATAAAAAAAGAAAAACAACAAAAAACATAAAATGCAATACCAACAAGTTTTAAATTATTAAAATGAGTGCTGAAATAATGCAATTTTTTTTATAAATAATAAATAAAATATAACGCCATATACCATTGGCATCTAACATCGCACTTTCCAATCAAGAACGAAACATTATACATTCCAATAAATCTCTTGAAAAGCATAAAATAAAATGCCAACAACTTTTAAGTTATTAAAATAATTTTTCAAATAATGCTGTTAGATTTAARCACATAAGAAGAACGAATTGCAATAACTAAGACAAAACTAGAGCATCCATCATTTACGAAAATACCTTAACAGTAACAGTACTTTTGAAAAAGAAATATACATATGACAATATGACTGTCTTTTGTCTTTCTTACCTCCAAACACCATATAGTCCACCTCGATAGGATGATGTTTGCTCTTCAGCCCTACAAGGTCCTTAACACATGTTTTAAATTGTGTTCGTGTAGTTTCCTRCGACAAGCAATAGTCTAGTTATCGAATGATTGAAGACGAAATAAAGTTCACCGAGAAACAACGAGATATCAACTTTTTTTTTAAATCATGTCATGACGATTAATGCGAATCCATAAACTGATCTTTTTAACACAATCGACCAACTCACCTCAACCCAGGCAGCAATKGAGTTGTCTTCAGGACGAATGGCATTGACATTACTGCTGTCATAKTGATGACTCGGTGCAGCAACGATTGTTGGTGGAGCATAGTACGGCTCGCTGAAGCTCACGACCTAAAATTGAAAAATTCCATGTTGCCTTAATGATGAATATGGAAGGGTAGTGGAAAGGAAAGTTTATGAGCGAAAAATTGAATCGAAATAAATTATATCTGACATGTATATTCCTTTTAGCTTTAAAGGGTCGATATGGACTGTTAGCAATTCCTTAACTTGACCCTGCTTTAAGTTATAATACCTGGCAAAACGCATCATTGTCAKCYTCGCTTGGTACAAGAGTGTTTGGAAAGTCTACCCTGATAAAGTCATGATAATTCCAYGTCTGGGGAACYTCCGTCATTGCCATCCAAGTCTGCAACAGACAGTAAAACTTAAAAATTTATAATAACATCAAAATAATATTGTTAAATAGCTATTGATGGTCTGCCTTAATGATTCCAAATATTATCATTTTAAAGTATGTTGTTAGTGTGGAATGACATATGTCCATAATACCGTACCACATCGATGTCCTTATGGCGKCCATCAAAGGTTCTTGCTTCTCTCATACAAACAATRAAATCGTTTGTGGTGATTYCTTCCACCCAAACTGTAGCTGCATCATGYTTGTTGTCCAACACATTGTGATGTGCAGTAGCGAAGACATGAGGAACACTTGGAAAAGACTAATGTAATAGAAYAGAAGAATGATTTTAGAGAAGAAAGAATCAAAASGAAGAGAAATGGGGACAATAAGCARGAATTGCTTTTTACGATAAAATAGATTGAAAAGATATGGGCAGTAGACAAGTCCATTRAGAAAAGGTTATGAGACAACAAACGAAWGAAGTTGTCAACAAATGAAAARGGAATTAAACGAAAAACGACAATCTTCAGTTGTACAAGAAGAGGATAAAAACTAGGAAATMAGAMAATAAGAAAGAATGCTTTAATTAAAGAATGGGAAAAACGCAAAAAATGCAGAAAAATAGGAGAAAAGAGATCAAAACGATYGAGATAAAAATGAAAATAATAGAAGGCTTGAACGTTGATAAAGAAACCTTGTTATTGCTCAGATAAAACGATAGCCACAAGAAACATGAAGCAATKTTAAAAGAAAAAAAAATTAAAGGACAAAAATAAAATTTAAACAAATAAATAAAATAAAAATGAAGAAAAAACTTTCACTTACCTGGGAAAGACGAACTTGTTTGCATTCCGTTCCCGTCGTCCACTCGTTGAACCTCACAGAGCCGTCCGTCACACCAGACTGCACGCCTTGGTAAGCCATCCAATTAATAGTCACATTACCACTTGATCCARCSCCATTCTCWACYAGACAGACTTTAAAACTACTTGTAGTGACAGACTCAACCCACGTGAACACTACRTCATGTACACGTGATGAGCTCGTGCCAAARCCAAYTGACGTAAAGACTTTGACAGGATCAACGCCCGTGAAGGCTGTTGGGAAGGTGATAGTATCGCTGTAGTAATTWTCRGGGTTTGTTTGTCCGATGCGAAGAGTTCCATGCTGCACACCTAGAAAGACATGATGCAAGTTAGAATTAAATCAGTTTAAMAGTCTATTCTAAGTACATAAAACTATGTTTGTACTTTTGGCAAGATGGTTTGATGCTAACGTTTTAGAGAGAAAGACAAATACATATTACATTTTTTGCACACTTTACCSTTTTSACTACCACYCAAAATTGTTTCGTTAGGAATAAAACAAAAATATTTTWAARCCAMAATGGTGTTACTTACCTTCAGTAGCGACGAGAACCGATAAAAACAACAACACGACTTGCGAGAACTTCATTTTTGCCTGATCCACTCGTCACGAYGACTTGTAGCAACTGAAACAGTACCTCGTAGTAACGCCCTTACATAGTGACTGTCTTGGCTTTAACATATTTGATCAAATCGTGTTTTCTTCGAACTTTAGTTAAACGTTTTCCCCAAAACAAAAGTAAGAATTTGATATCTGATCAAGGCAAATTGATCCAAAGTTAAATTCYCCTTAATCGAGAAATATGATTTGTTTTTTAGCACAAGGAGAATTTGGGAGTCTATCATTTAATGCATATGCCTTACGTTACCAAACGCATAGTTTTAAGATAAAAATCTGTCTAGAGTTGAGAGATTATTTGAAAATAATAGTTCCTTTGTTACAGAAGAAAATACGTTTTCGCACAATCTTACAACTTTTCAAAACTTTAAAAAGTTTAAGACAATATATGATTCAYGCAATTAAAGAATCTATTTGAATGTTATGTTGCATTTGCCTGTAAWTCACACAGTACGGAACATACACGTTAGACTTCCGTCTTTATGAATGTTTGCACAACATCAGGTCAACTAGTCCAGTGCAGGACAATAGTTTGTACGTTAAAGGTCGCAATAGTGTTTACGGTCGTGTACTGCCTTTAAGGGAAATTGCTATAAATACCATGAAATTGACCTAGTTCATTATGACGTCACATTAAAATATGCYAAAGGGGATATATGCATATATAATAATATACTTTATGAATTGCGTTGCCGAGCCACATGCTAAACTCAGGCTGAGCTTAACTTTCTGATTCATACGTCGATCTGTTCATGTGCTCACTTTAAACTATTTGGTAATAACGATAGCACACGAGGTATGAGCCTGGCAAGAGACAATAAATCAAACAGTAACTATTTCCACGAATAAAGCCTGTAATTCTRTAATACACACTAGTACAAAATACTCATGGTCGAGATAAACTAAACCCTGAGTTAGGGTCTCGAGTTAGATTTCGAGTTGGATCTCGAGTTGGATCTGGAGTTGGATTTCAAGGTTGGATTTTTGTTAAAATTGGTATATCTTCAATAAGTTTGTGATGTTGAATGTATCAAAATTATGTTAATTATAAATATATAAACAAACTTTTGTGAAACGTAATATAAGTTTGATATTGATCAGATCAGAGACTGGGACTGATGCAAACTTCACAAATCTGTTGTCGATAGATAAAGCACATATAAGATGGCTGAAGTTTAAAGTTTTAGCAAGTTTAAGTCATTTTCAAAAGTTTTTAAAAATTAATCGCATGCATGGCCCCCGGCCAAAACTAATTCGAAATCACAATAACTTTAGTCACGACGTTGTTATTCACGTTCCAAAAGGAAGTTTAATTTAAAGCAAGTTTTAAATCTTATAATTTATGGTCAATAGTGTACAAATTATTCCCTGAAGAAGCCCTCCGTTATGAGATGAAAAGCGTAGAAAAATTAAAAAGTTTGCAACTATTCAGTTCTCCGTAGTGCTGATCACTAGTCTTAGTTTTATAGAAAACTCAGAATCCTGCTAAAAATCCAACTCGAGATCCAACTCGAAATCCAACTCGAGATCCTAACTCGGCGTTTAGGTAACCTCCTCATAGACTTGTTTCTTTCTCAAATGTTAATGCAATATCTTAAAGTGCACCTAATTACTTATTTGAAGTAATTTTTGTACCATTCTAGTCATGATTTTAAGCACTTATGCGAAATAAAAATCGATTTGGATAAATCTGTGATTTTGTTTTACAACGCTCCAAAGTAGCCAATAAAAGCCTCAATGGATCCCTGTGGAGAGTCATGGTGGAGGGTCATGGTCATGGTTGGATTCGCTTTTTCGCCTAATTCCCGCCAGACTTCATGCAGACTAATCACAGGTATCCCAGGCTCAATAACTTATAATAACTTATAAAATATGTCGTTCGCACATTTTTTTACCTAAAAAATATTATTCTAACATAAATAAAACGTCTCTCGCTTTCCTGGTTGAAAATCTTTCGTTTTTAAGAGGTTTTACGCCATTTGTGATATGCCATTGTTTAACCTACTTATATTAATATTTATATTAATTAAGGTTGGAGACTGGACGCAAAGATTTCCAACAGTACTTCTACTTGCACTCGATTTTTTTGTCAAAATTCATTCTTTCGTCCACATTTAACTGCTCCACAATAAACATGAATGTCCAAGGATTCTTTTGAAGGTCTTCGTAAATGAATTGCTTTTCGGGAAGTTATTTTATCGGCCGTTGAATTCTAAGAATTCTAATATTCGGACTAAAGTCATGCTGACTATAACCAATTTGGTCCGGAGGCACAGGGGTCCCAAAAGAAGAGAGTATTCTCAAATTGGATAGGATGATTTCTAACAAAAGGCAATGAACATTTTGAATCTATAGGGGGAAATGGCTCAACAATTGCGAGACGAGGCGGTGGAGGGTACAATCGAAAGCAAGCAATAGGGCGTCAGCCGCTCTGTGATAAGAAAGCAAGTTACCAGCAACAACTGAGTAAATTGCAGGTATTGACTCAGCGAACGGTTAACTGGATTTAGTGCCATGTTTGCAAATTGAATCCCTTGTAAATTAATTACCAGTCTTACTTCATGAACCCTTCAAAATGGAGATTTCTCCATGGAGATTTTCCTTAAAATTGCTGCCTTTAGGGGAAATTGTTATCAATGCCATGAAATTGACCAGTTCATTATTACGTCAATTCTTTTCTTTTCCTTCTTAACTTTTTAATATTTTCCCTGATCTTGATTTAGTTAGTTAAACATTATTTTAAGACATCATTTCAAACGATTTTTTTGCGTTTTTTATAAACCCCCTAATGGTTGTTTTAACATTAACTGGAGAAAGGTCAATATACTCGAAGTGATGGCTATAAATCAGAATTGAATTAGATATAAACCAGCCGATCAGATCGCACAACCTTGATTGTACAATAAATCTTATAGCTGTAGCCTAACTAGGGCTCCTAAGTTTTTGATTTTCCTGCGACAATGATTACAGGCTTGCTAATTCTTGTCGTTCTCTAAACATTTTCGCTAAAACAACGCCAACAGAACCTTGTCGTAGAGAATGTTTGAATAAGTTTGTAGATGATATCGATCTTTTCTTTCCTGAGACGCCAAATTCAACTCGAAAATTACAGCTACATAACCTACAAATGTTTCATTCGGATCGCAAACGTCGTGCATGATATTTTTGACCAGTACACACGTGTGACATGTTTGATCGGAAGTTTAACTTCTGTTATATGTGAAATTTGATTGATCCACTTTTCATATAGCCAGCAGGAACGCCTGTTAGCAGGCTATTATAGCTGCGGATGTTCTTGAAGTTCAAGCATCATTTGCGATTACTGCAAATTCTTAATTCCCAAAATATTATATCTACTCGAGGGGAAAAAGACTACGGACTAAACATTAATCATGCTTACTCAGTTAGTGTAGACATGCTTTTAGAGTAATTTTCATCCGTCTGTGAAACAATTACTACTAGTCAGTGTTTAATGGTGTCGAATAGTTGTATTACAATGAAAGCAATTAGTGTAGAGTCTACTAGTGTCTATTAGAATAGGAACTAGAGTCATTTTCATCCGTCTGTGAAACAGGAATTTTACTATTAAATTCTATTACCCCCAATTAGCTCCAAACAGTTTAACTTGTGACAGACAAACTATTTAGGCAAAAACGGTTTTTATTTGCGGTTTTTCTTTTTGATAGCGCCTACTACACCCTAATAATTTCTATTAAACAACGACAATTAGTAATTGTTTCACAGACGGATGAAAACGACTCTATTTTAGTCCGACGAAAGTCACTCTAGTGATTTACAGGCAATTCAAAAGTAAGCTTTTGTTCCTATTTCTGTAGTTGTCAAGAAGCAAACAAAGCAAAGCAAAACGAAACAAAACAAAAAACATTGGCATTCATTGCAGTACATTATTTATTAATTTCTACTGAGTATTTTTTTCAATAAAGATCGCCAAATACACATTAACAAACAAGGTTGAATTTGAAATATATCTCTCTTGATATTACAAAATCGAAAATGACAATTTAATAATTGAATGCAATTTGGAATACAACAAATCAATAGATGTGTAAGGCAGTGTRCATACTGCCTTAGAGCCTAACGTAAAAAAAAAACACTTTACAAATTATACCCGTCTATCCATTACAAATGCTCAATCAATAARAAACACAAATTTTAGGTCTGACGATGCTTTCTTAACTGAATTGATGGATATTTTTTGCCTATATCACATTTGGACTGCCTTGCCACACACATGGGGTAATGATAACTGTCTGTTAGTATGGGTTTTTTTAGTTGGTTCCGCAGTACCGAAGCGAACAAGTTGGAGACGGCTGAAATTCATAAACATAAAATGCTCCACAGTTTAGCACGCGTATCGTTGTACTCCACTCGCAACAACTTGATGTCCAGTGAAAGCAAACGGTTCGTGAAACAATTCCTTCCTGCACCGTTGGATGAGCACCATTCAACCAGCCTGTAGCGTGTGCGTCACAGTGGTCATACGATACACAAGAGGTCGGCATACGTGTACCGGCAGCACCAGTCAAACGATACCATTGGACGGACATACCACTGTCGCACAGAGTTCTGTAGTTTCCATAGTTTACATGTCGATCTCCATCAGATATCTCAGTATAGGAAGAACATGCGGAAACTAAAGAAGTAGGACGAAAAGACTTGCTAATAATTTTTTATGTATTGAATTTTTTCCCTCTTTCTCCCTGATGACCTTCGATGTGAGATTAGCTTCATGACTAATACTAAATTTGGTTTTTCAACGCTCAAACGCTATTTAGAACAATAAACCCAGAACACTCCAAAAGAAAATAGCGATTTTAACATGATCTGTATGATCTTATTTTCATGATTACATTAAAAATGCCCCCAACTCCGTTAACCTACATTGGAGACCATTTTTGAACTCGGCTACCGATATAATCTCTGTGGAGGGACTTTAAGAAGTGAAAATTTTCAAATTTCGAGGTCATATATCCTATTTATATATATTAAATTTTCACACAAAACCTTTTTTTTAATTAGATTTATTTAAGTTTTCCAGCAGCCCGAAATGCGCTTTGAAATCAAGGGTGTGGAAAGAGTGTGACGTCGAATATGGAAAAAATACAATTCATGTGTACTTAAAACATATATTGTAGATCCTCACGAATCACGTACATGAAAATGTTAATGTTTTTTTAATTTAATTTAGATTTTTATGAAAATATTTAATATTTTAATGAAAATTGATATTTATTGAAATTGTTTTTTGCATCGAAACCTAAAGCGTGGATTTCACTAGCACATAAGCATAGCATAAGCACAAGCATGAGAATCTTATGCGTCAGTGAGAACGGGCTCGACGTAAGCATAAGACATTGAGCATGCGCATGAGAGTATTATTTCGGTACCAGGCTATGCTTATGCCTATGCAGTCCCGTTCTCACTGAACATAAGCATGAGATAAGCACAAGAAGATCAAACCTTGCTCGTTTTTCTTGTGCTCATGCTTATGCTTATTTTGAGCCCGTTCTCACTGGCGCATATGAGTCTCGTGCTTCGTGCTTATGCCTATGCTTATGCGCTAGTGAAATCCACGCTTAAAAAATCAAATTGTTATTGATACTCGCAAACGAGTTTATTTTCTTATAACAATTTTACAAAGTAAAAACTACTTACCTCCATATGTTGCAGAAAATCCACTGTTAGTGTTGGAGCCGTCAGACGTGAACGTCACGTGCATCTGATTTGATGAGCTTGATATTGATGGAGGAAGAGAAGTTCCACTGAATTCCCCAAGTAGCGAATGTGAACTTGAACTACCGTCGTACACTCGAACGTAATCATAATTGGCCTCGGTATCAAAACTTTCAAATGAAACTGAAATTCTTTCTGGGGAKGTAAACGTCCAGTAACAGCTTTGACTGTCTGCATAGTGCGAAGGATGGTTAGGTGACGTGAAGCGACCACTGCTAAGACTTATACTTGAATAGGTACAATCTGACTGCACTGACATCGAAACTGTTGAGGAAAATTTAATTCACATTGAGAAGCCCCTTTATTATCGTCATCCAGCTAATAGAGTGTCATGGAAACTGAGGGGGGAGGGGGGGGGGGGGGGGGGGGGGGAGAGGGAATTTCTAAGGAGTTTTGATTAAAAGGAGAGGAGGACACAACCTGCAAAATGACCGTTTGAATTTTGGAGCATGAATATCTCCAAAAATTGCCATTTTCTCTTTTAGATATCAATATCTGTTTTACCTGCTGTACACGAATATCCGTCTCCATGGAAATTTGGATTGCATTGACAAGTATACGATCCARCRGTRTTYGTACATTGTGCATTAACATTACATGTATGGGAGCCAGAGGAACATTCATCAATATCTAGAACACAGAAGAAAACGGAAATGTTATTGAGACAGCAATTTCTCCTTTTTTCGATAATTTAAGCTTTCGAGGACCAGTTAATAAMATATCACGAAATTGATTACTCATAGTGTCACCGACGCCTTGCATGCCTTCAATTGTATTAGTTTGTGCTAAAATGWCCCTTAAACAGAAAGTGAGTGTATGGCACAACTTRWATTCACAAACCTGTGCACGTCTGTCCATCACCCTGGTATCCATGGTTACACTGACAGGTATGAGAACCAACGTTATTGGTACATTGTGCGTTAGCATGACAAGAATGCGTGCCTGTAGAGCACTCGTCGACATCTTAACAGAAATGAACAGAAATGAAAGGGGGAAAAAATTGCAAAGATACTGATTGCACTTCAACTTAATATTAATGCATGTATATTCTGCTGTTCTTGTTTTGTTTTGCTTGTTTGTTTTTTTTTTATTCGTACTTTAAATTATCCTCTACAAATTATAAATGGCGAAAGTGACCAAGATCACTCAGAAATTATCAGCTATAGAGAAAAAAAAATCATGAATCACACAGTAGCGTATTATAAAATACCTGTACAGGCCCARCCRTCWCCRTGGTATCCYGGGTTACATTGRCAAGTGTACGATCCAACAGTATTRGTACATTGTGCGTAGCCRTTRCAGCTRTGGGAACCAGACGAACATTCGTCGATATCTAGAGAAGCGTGACAGTCTATWAKTTCGTCTCGCTGGCTACACTTTTCTTCTTTGAGAACATAAGTCAACTGATAACATYTTTCCAAAATTTTACCACAGTAMGAAGAGCTGAAAGGGGTCTGTTGAACATACCTGAGCACGTTCTTCCATCACCATTAAAACCAAGGTGACAACTGCAGGTRTAGGATCCCACGGTGTTTGTACACTGCGCATTGGCATCGCAGCTATGAGTACCGAGTGAACACTCATCGGCATCTGGAAAATTRCGYWAAACACACTATATATTCACTAAACAGTTCTCTTGAGAAAATTATTAGGAAAGGGCTAAGAACAAAAAATCAAAACCTATCTTATGTAAAGTTTGCCTGATCGTCGGATCAATACGAGCAATRCAGATGATGATGATGGTTATCTTTGCACATGGTTATTRCCATCACAGCTGGGCTATTGTACCGTTTACTTTATGTGCTAKCTTCCTCTAWCACTTTCAATTTTTCCATTTCAAAAATTCTGCTTTACATTTAATCAGAATGGACTGGCAAAGTTAGTTTATTTGGAAGTTAAAAAGTGCTTGTGTTTTTGTATTGGAATATGGTTTATATTTTGGACTTTGTTATACTGACTGCCCAGGTTTGATTGATTATGGAATAATTCCACTTGGGTCCGGCCAGTCAGTTCTAACAAATGAAAAGCACCCGCCCTTTAATAAGTTTACATTTCTATTTACCTGAGCATGTCCTTCCATCACCATTGTAGCCAGAGTTACAAACACATGTGTAGGAACCATCAGTATTGGTGCAATGTGCATCAACATGACAAACGTAAWAATTACCAGAACACTCGTCAATATCTAAAGTAGAAAATGATTTTCTGAAGATCTGGCATTGGATGAGATTTCAAATTTTACCAGTATGAGATGCTTCTATGGATGTCAAAAAAGACATAACAAGATATACCTCGTTTACATGTGTATGGGTGACAAGATCCACAAGTGACGTCATTCCAGTGATAGTCATGACGTAATCCMAGGGTATGAACGCAATCCTGGTCTCCAGGATAACCATTTGGCTGGTTCGCCGCCCAGTACGTAAAGTTAACATTGGTACCGTCAATCCAGGTAAAGTTTCCTTCACTGTCAATGTCTTGTAGTCCTATCCATCCTGTATCACCACCGTGACGATGTTGAATGTACGTGTTTTCTTCTTGACTGGTGACACTGGTCAGATTGGAGTTAACATCAAGACAGTTGGACTGAGCTACATTCCAAGAGGCACAGGAAGATGTGGTCTTGTAGCAGAAGCCATTGAAGTAGTTCCAGTCTTTTCCACACATATCTAAAACGAAGAACAATTGTAGTAGTCTAGATGTGAGTGCATCTTGAAAGCATTCACCTTGGCAATGTATGGAATGTTTTCACGAAACAATAAACGTTGCCAAAATAATACTTCTCGTCTCAATTAGTTAAATGAGTAGTTCTTATTGAGCATTCCAAATCACCTGATACAACGACGTACTGTAGGGCAACAGGGTCGTAACGGTCCGAGTACAACTCYTTAAGACAAACACGGAATGTTTCCATCGTGATATCCTGTTATGGAACCAAAAGAAAGATCAAAGAGTTACTAAAACTATGACATTGAAGCATATCCATTCTTAAAAGTCACCTCAATCCATGCAGATATCCCGTTGCATTTGGGATCAGTTGGGCCAACACTTGTATCGTGAGTAGGTGTTATCAGCACYGAAGGTCTTCTTGTGTAATTTCGTGCCATGTTCACATTCTGTGAAATAAATTTTACAAAGAACGATAGATCCATATGAAGATACTTCCTCGTACACGAAAATTAGTCATTATAGATTTGCAATTTGCAATTMAAAMGCAACACAAAGCAGCAAAAACAATARCAACARAYGGAAAAACAAAGCAAAACAAAAACATACAGAATCTTTMATAGGAATAAAGCTTAATAAACTTACAAAAAAAAGATATTTCATGACTTACGTGGCAAAATGCATAGTTGTCAGATTGCAGAGGGGTTTGTGTATTGGCGAAGTGAACACTGCCGTGCTCAGAGAACAGTGGGAGATGAAGCGTTTCAAATGCCATCCAATCCTACAATTCAACAAAGTGTCAAAGTTCACTTTTCCTAGTATCTTATTGGTCGAGAGTGTACCACGTGAAAGTCACAAAATTTTACTGTTTACCGGCAACTGTCCACCAGCGGTCAATAATATGTTGTGGACCGTCAATAAGTACAAAATCGCAGAAAAACACTCTTCAGTGTCGTGAAAATGCCACATTTACGGACGGTGAATTCCAAAATTGTTTTGAAACATTTAATTTCGTCTACAAATAGTTATTGTATTTATTGTGTTATTACATTGATTGATTTTAGTGACATTTGACTATTTGTATTGCCATTTTTCAGTCATTTTATCAAAATCTTTAATAAAAAAACTTCATTTATTTCCTTTTTTTGCTCTCTTTGACACTTGATATGATAATAAAGCACTTATTTACTGGAAACCTCGAGAAACAGTATGTTTTGCGGTCCCTCGACCGGTGATGTTTCCCACAGCTTCGATTCGGGAAACATCATCGGTCTCGGGACCACAAAACCTACTGTTTCCCTCGGTTCCAGTAAATAAGTGTTAAATAAATACTCATAGAAAAATAGTAGACATCATGTGAAGAAATTCATATTTACCAAAACAATCTCTTCATGAATTCCGTCAAAGTTCTGYAGCTCTCTAATACAAACTTGAAATGATGAAGAGCTGATGTCCTCGACCCAGACACTGGCAGCATCGTGTTTGAGTCCATCTCTCTGGTGCTCGAGAGTGACTAGTACCGTGGGGGTACCCGTGAATTTACCCTGAAATTAACACAATTTTAAAATCAACACGTGAGGAGTGTTGTGTGCTAAAATACTTAATGTAGAGGTAGTGAGTGTGAGAGTAAGGTCCGCAGTTATTGGCTCTGCGAGCTGTTGCGGTGTCCCTGCCCCAACTAGGGGTAAAAGCTAATTTAAAAATAATATCGAAGAAAATATTTGTTTTAATTATTTGCTCAACCATTTTTGAATATACCCTGAAATTTATAYAAATCTTCATGTTTTCACTGTGTAACTTTATTATGATCTACATTAAACTAAAGAGTGACTACTACTGATCAGTATGTTGTATCATCTTATGACAGATATTTTTTATTACAAATCWATTATATCGCGGAGAATGTTACCTAAGAAGAGACAGCGCACAATTCATTTACTAATATTTTTTGATATTATGTTTATATAATTTTTAATACAGAAATTGATATACTTACACTTGGAAATGATAATGTTGTACACTTTGTACCAGTCCACCAATGTGTAATCCGCTCCTTACCAGTAACTGCGCCATTTGGTGAACCTTGATACGCTATCCAATCAACAGATGCCACGTCATTGGTAGGCTGGTCATTTCTTCCAGTCTTTGTCATGCAGACCGTAAAATTATCTAGATTGACTYTTTCTGACCACGTGACTGTTGCGTCATGGACATTTGCAGGAAGCGAGGCGTTGTTGTAGTTGACCGTTAGTTGGACATGGATTGGTTTGTCGGGATAGAATGCRTAGGGCTGGAGAGAGACAACTTCACAATGAGACTCGGCAAATGCTGAAACATGGCTGAGATGATGCGTTCCTTTGTCGAATGGAAAACCTAAAATAGGAAGGCAATCGAAAAGATTAAAATCAAATGGTATCGAAATGATTAAATGAACACAAATATGCACGCTAACCTAGAAAATGATAATAATAATAATAATAAAAGAAACCTTGAGTCCGTTCCAGTTTAAATATTAATTCATGAAAATAAATAATTAAGACTTGATGACTGCTAAGTTAAAATAGTGTCATGTGAACAAAACTAGTTATACTGCATGAATAAGTTTAGTACATTACTTACCCGCTTATAAGAACCCATTTTTTTCAAATTTAGTCTAAACGGGTTCTTATGTAAATGGTGCTTTATGGGATTTTAGGCTAACTGGTTCTTAAATACAGCCTTTTGCAAAAATTATGAGAATTGTTGAAATATCTAAATATCATAATATCGAGTGCATGATGGGTAATCCCGGGCGGTGCCTTAGTCCCTTGTCTTTGTAGTTTAGGTTTTTTTTGGCGACAGACTTATTCGTAGTTCTGAACATTTTCTCGATGTCAACAATGAATTATTCTAGCAAACCCGCGTGTTCCGGACAATATATGGATATGGATATTATGATATTTAGATATTTAGACAATTCTCATAATTTTTGCAAAAGGCTGTATAGGTTATTATAATATAATATAAATATAGGCTTATTTAATGTGAAAATATTGTACAACTGTGAATGGTGTCATGTATTATTAATTCCGTCAATGCCAAAACAGGCCTGGCCCTTAAACAGTGTATGTGACCATGACCTATAATTATGCAAAACATTATACCATATTATGCCAAATTATACCAAATTATATCAAATGTAGAAGTGTATACATGTTCAAGTTCACTACTTTTGAGTCAAGCTTTTTTTGCATGAAGATTTTTTTAGAGGTTAATTTCTATAAGAACCTGTTTCAAATTTTARGCTAAATATGTTCTTATGTAAATGGGGTCTAAATTGATATTTTTAGGCTAAAAGGTTCTTAAATTGCAGGTTCTTATAAGCGGGTAAGTACTGTAGTGCAAATGGCGCGTACGCAAATGTGCATATCTTGGTGCTCGTTTCAAGTTATATTTTTTTCTCGCAATATCTTTTTGTAACATAAGAGAGTTTGAGATTTTTTAAGTTTTTTTTTTCTATATCAACGGCCCGTTCTGTTCCATTTGTATAGAAATACAATCGTTTTCTCATACTATTYCTTAATTATTTATGCCTTAATTAAAATTTTTAGGACAAGTTTTGACGATTTGCGTTCGCCGTTAATGTTAMTTTTAATATATATTGAATTTTCCAAATAGTAATTTCTACATTACACTTGTTTTGAATTACCTTGGCAACTGCCTGGATGGTAATAYGAATAGTTTCCCCGRGTTTGGCAGATTTCTCTTTCCAAAGCRCACATGTTATCAAAMGTTCGACCATTAGAAGCACACACGAGATCTTGGTAAGATGGACATTGAGTAACRCACACRCACTGGTGAACAAAGGCTGACATCGATTGGCAAACACCAAAATATTCACAGGTCTTGTTGATGCATGGATCAAGATCTAGTAAAAAATAAAAGCTAAAAAAATCAAATAAAACTACACAAAGTTGTAAAATGCTATGTTCGTTTTACCTCCAAACACCATATAGTCCACCTCTATAGGATGATGYTTGTTCTTCAGCCCAACAAGGTCTTTAACACATGCTTTAAAATTTGTCCGTGTGGTTTCCTGTATAAAAGACCATACTTTTAAATAAATAAATCTTTTAAATAATCTTTTAAATAAAAGATTTATTAAGACTAAGAAAAACACACAGAGAAAACTATAATATGACAGACACTAGCGCCATAAAAATCCCCAAGGTCCGCAATTTTATGTACAAAGGGAGGATTTTTTTATAGAAAAAAATATCACATTTCAGGAACTTTCTGTTTTTTATTTAGTTTTATCTCACCTCCACCCAGGCAACGATGGAATTGTCTTGAGGACGAACGGCATTGGCATTACTGCTGTCATAGTGRTGACTTGGTGCAACAACTATTGTTGGTGGAGCATAGTACGGCTCGTGGAAGTTCACGACCTGAAAATAAATTTTATAGTGACCTCGTAAAAAATGTGAAAGAATTACCCAAAGAAAAAGAAAGGAAGGGAAGACGGAAAGAAGGAAAACAGGGGAGTGGGAGCACTGTAAATACACGACATTCTAAGAATAAATTTTTTTGCGTGTTCAATAATGATTTAGTTCGCTGTATAGCGACATATATGGTACTCCGAGGGCATTATAACTGGAGTACTTAAGCTTGCAAAATACCTGGCAAAACGCATTGTTGTCAGCCTCGCTTGGTACAAGAGTGTTTGGAAAGTCTACTCTGATAAAGTCATGATAATTCCATGTCTGGGGAACTTCACTCATTGCCATCCAAGTCTGCAACAGATATTCTAGAACTCATTAATAATTCATGAGCTATTAGTCCAATCAGAATCCAACTATTGGGTCACATGATGGACCTTTATATCCCGATAAAGCACTGATGTTTTATTAATCAGTTCTTTATCAGAGATATAGAACTGATGTTTTATTAATCAGTTCTATAAAGAACTGATGTTGAAGGTCATCAGCGCTTTATCGCAACCCAACACTAGCAAAGGTCTCAGTTTTAATGTCGCATCATAGACCTTTCCTAGGTTTTAAATCAGTTTTTTTTTTCTTACGTGTGGGATCAAAATTCTTTCATTTGTGACAAATGCACATGCTCAGTAGAAGTTTAATATGCATAATCTCTGTTTTCGCATTTTTTAGCTTTTTTCTAAAATGATAACAATTTCTGGATGTTGGAGTTCTAGAAGTAGTATAAAAAACTCGCAGTCGTGCTTTATCGGGGATATAGACACTCGGCCTTTGGCCTGGTGTCTATATCTCCCGATAAAGCACGACTGCTCGTTTTAAACACTACATACAAGTTAAAAATGTATAATAACATCAAAATAATATTGTTAAATAGCTATTTATGGTCTTCCTTAAAGAATCATAACCACCCGCCGTACCTTGCGAACCGAAGCGCCATTTTAGGTGGACACGAAAATGGCGGATTTGTAGGATTTCTTAAAGTGAGCGCAAATCGTCTTCCGTCCTTTCAGTTTGGACAGAAATACCATTAACCAAGTACCTCACAGGTACTATCAATCTATAATTTATTGTATGCTTGACGCATTTAAACGTATGTAAACAATAATGCGGAGCGCGCAAGGTACGACGGGTGGTTATGATTCTTTAATGATTCCTAAAATTATACTTTAAAAGTATGTTGTTAGTGTGGAATGACATATGTCCACAATACCGTACCACTAAAAAAACGAAATAAGCATAACGATCTTATCAAACTGCCAGATGGTCTTATTAATTAGAAAATAAAATTTACCTTTCAAATTCAATTTTTTTTACTAATACACTAGAATGACATCAATAAAAACAAATTTCAATACCGTACCACATCGATGTCCTTATGGCGTCCATCAAAGGTTCTTGCTTCTCTCATACAAACAATRAAATCGTTTGTRGTGRYTYCTTCCACCCAAACTGTAGCTGCATCATGCTTGTTGTCCAACACATTGTGATGTGCAGTAACGAAGACATGAGGAATACTTGCAAAGGAC